ATTTCCAATTCTGCCCCTAAATAACTCTTCCCGGATTTTGGACTAGCACGACCGCGCACCTGGCCGCGCTAATTGGCTGAGATTATGTCATGGACGCGCTAAAAGTAGCGCGGTCGCGCACCTGGGTGCGCATGTCCAGTTCTGTGTTTCATCACTTTTGTTCCTCGTCTTCAAGCGTACTCAGCTCTGAGGGGTCTTTCTTGCTCCAAAATGGTTCCAATCACAACTGTTTAAGGCATCACCTAGGCTCTTCATCCTGCAATATATACAATTCACAATTAGAGCCTATTTTTCATCAATTAACCATATTATGATATTGGAATATAATCAAGTTGGAGCATAAACAATCGCCAAATTACCTAGATTTAACCTATTATCAGCTATCAACACCTCCAACATCCAGATTAGTCACTGCTATAGAGAGGCGAATCAATTAGCGGATTGTTTGGCTAAAATGGCAGTGAACAACCATCAGCCTGCTTTTTTCTATTCCAACCATCAGCTGCCTAGTCAGGCGAAAGACCCCTTTTTGCTGGACAAAGATTAGGTTTCTTGCATAAGGAATAAATATGACAAGGCCAACTTTTTTATTAGCTAGTTTTGCATTTTGTTATTTAGAGAGGGCGATCTATTTATAATTGCCTACGCCTCATTTTTTGTAGGGTGTGTTCTACCCTCGTGATGTATCAACAAACTCCTTATTTTTGCTAATACAACACTCCCATGCAATCTGGGAAAAGTTTAGAAAAAAAAGAAAGAAAAAAATATCCTCGTCTAATAACTTCTACAAGGAATAGAAATCAAAGGAAAGAAGACTAAAAACAAAGTAATTAGTCTCATCTATCAACTTCTATTTTCTTTTCTTTGGATCCATTCAAAGCTTACCCTAAATGTTGATATTTGAATTCTCCGATTAGTATCTGAGTCACTAACAAGGGTCCATACAGTTCATTGACTAAATTAAGCTTTATATCTCCAATGATCATTATCTAAGTCTAATGTTAGCCAAGTCCATTTAATTCCTTCAACTATTTTGTATAGATGAAATCAATTTTTGGAGGATTATACTTAACCACTCCTTGAGGCAATTTTGGATAATGACCTTTCAAATTTCTGGACCAATCTTTGATGTTTGTTTCAGTATATATACTCATTGGTGAAATTAACGTTTTGATTAATTAGGATTGGAATGAAAGGAACGAGAATAGAAACACTGAATAAGATAATAGTAGTATATTTTGCTCTAGCTCAGCATCTTCTGTTCCATTTTTCCTTTCCTAATTCCTACTTCAAACCAAACAAACCCTAAAGAAAGGGAAAGCTAGCCTAAATTAAAGACCAATCAGTACTCATCAACTCTTCTAGCTAATGGCATGAACCATATAATCTTGTTTATATTTCCAAATTAGTAGTATATAGCCTATGTACATAGGGTGTATTATTTGGTGCCATGGAAAACATTTTTCGACAATTTTTTCACAAAACAAGTCATTTTCTGACAACCAAACAGCAAAAAAATACACTTTCTTGAAAAATATTTTCCGTCAAAAGAGGTAAAATGACTTTCTCCCCTGATGTTTTTCTCCAATAGTTCATTGAAGTAATTTCTAACTTTTATAGAGTGTTGAACAGTGTGACAAAATATCTTCTAAAAAGTATTTTGCTGAAAATGTTTTTCGATAATATTTTTCTTCATATCAAACGTAACCATACAGTTGCAAATTTTCATGGAAACAGATAGATTCTAGACCCCCCAAAAAAAAAAAAAAAAGAGAGAGTACTTAATACTGCTTTAATCTATTACTGTTTCTACTTACCTGGTCTGCTTCAATTCATAGTACCGCAGGTGCTTAATTCAAACCTGCAGTATAATATCAAGTGAATCCATACCCAAAAAAAAGGTCAAATTTAATTTTTATAGAGAAATCATTCAATCAACTTGACTATGAGATGAATGTTTTAATTCAACATGATTCCATTCGAAAAAATACAAACCTTTGTAATTAGAAATTATGGAAGAAACAATTATAAAAAGGAGATTTAAAATCAAGAGAAACAAAAACATGAGATAATTAATTAATTTTTATTCCTAATTAATCGAGATTATAGTTTCTTGGCTGAGATCCTCCTATTGGACGTTCTTCCAATTCTTCACTATGATTGTCAATTCTTTCTTGATTTACTTTCTCACTTTCACTCTCTCTATATCTATGCAAATACCTCTTCATTGTACCACCATAATCATCAAACCCTAAAGTTCCCAAAGCCCAACAAACGTCGTCGCCGTTCACCGTTTTCCGGCGTTCTTTCCGGCACTTCTCCGATGCTTCACCGGTCACAAATCCGATAAACTCAGATACACATTCTTGCATTGTTTCTTTTGCTTCTTTTGAGATTTTTGCATTTGGGGGTAAAGTTTGTTTCATTATTCGACCAACGTTGGCTATAGGCAACAAACGATCTTGTTCCTTGCTATTACTTCCTTCATCGTTTTGAGCCATTTTTTCAACGGAAAAAAAATGAAATTTAATTTGGTACTATAGTACAGTGTCAAATGTTAGAGAGACATGTAAATATATTCTAGTCAAAACTTCTTTTTATATATGCTCACGCTAACATCTTTTTCCAGGTATTGTTTACACTAATTTAAGTTGGCCAATTAGACTTTCGTTTCAGTTAAATATTATTGATCACTTTCAAAAGGTGTGAAATAATGGTATAGCTTTAACCAATCAATTGACTACATATGTTCCAATAATAATTAAACTAGTTATGCTCAGTTAAGCGTATTGCACTTTATTCAGAACTACTGTTACATAACAATAGTAAATAATTTGTCTCTAAAAAAGTTTAGTATTTTCTAAAAATAAAACTTTACTAAAACTTCACATTTATCAATCACTAAGATACAAGATCTCTAACCTTACTTGAAAAAAAATTTGAAAAACATTATTGGCATCAATGAGAAAAAACACGCATTTATCATTTTTTTTAAATGTAGTTTGTACGTAGTAAGATGATGTCGACATAGTGAAATACATGTTGATAATAGCAATGAAGCAGAGGATTGCAAAATGACTGGAGCTGCTAAATTTCTATCCATTATAGCTAGGATTGTCAATATGAGATTAGTTGAGGTGATTGTAGTGTAGAGTGGTAGCTGGAGTTGGAGCTTGCTGTCCAACTATCAATTTTTTCGATGGTTGTACATAATTCTATTTGGTAAATAAAAAATATTTTACTTGCCAAAAAAATAAAGAAAGAAAAAAGTACATGTCGAAAGAAATTACGTGTTATTTTTTTCTGATATAGTAATTACTTATATAACACACTTGTTCTATGTCAGCCGTGGTTTGTGTTTGACTCAAAAGATATCGAAACTTTTTTGAACAAATCAATCAAAGAAGATGAAGGGGTAAATCTTAGTCAAACATAATTAATTCCAGATCAAAGAGCTAGTAGTATGGATCGCATATAGGATAAAAGAAATGAAATGATCTTATTGAAATTCAATATTGTGTTTCCCATCGATCGATGGGGAGATAGCTTTACATATTCTTCTATAGATTACTTCTTTCCTATCAAGAATACAAGAAGAGAGCTTCAGAAAGAGAAAGGAGGGAGCAGCCCCTTTAATCGAAGGTTTTCCCTTACAATATATAGTCAAGTCACCCTTGTCCTTTACTGGGGCAGACGCCCTCTTACCTCTAATATGTCTCGGTCATCCCTTTAGGCGCTGCTTCTTCCGACTCGATGGATGTCGGGAAAGGGATGCAGAGTGGGCTATGCTATCTTTCACTACCCAGTTACCTAGGCGGGACGTTGGTTAGTTCGGTCGTGACGGTCAGATTTTGACCAATACAGTTAGTCCCTCCGTCTGTCGGGGTCGTCTCCTGTTGGGCTCGGCAGACGGATCATGATTACTACGAATTCGAGCGACATCTGACTTCTGACTTTTCATTCCTTAGTTACATTCCTTGGGTTTTTGGTGAGGGGCGGCGTTCTTTCGATACCCATGGACCATTGCGGCGGTTTCGGAATTGAAATGTCGTTTGGTATCAAAGCGCTATTTCGTGGTTACCGCCATTATGACACACGTTCCTAGGGAACTGAAACGTTTCGTACCCTATCAAATTCGATTGGCGACTTTTGGGTTTCATGCTCGGGGGATTTGTGTCTCTTATAAATAGAGGGAGCTTATCATTCGATTGACACATTTCTTTACCTTTTACTCGAGAGAATTCGGTAGATATACCTTCTTTCTGACCCTCCAAGTTTTCGTTTACCCTTAATCAACTGAAAATCTCCGTCCTTTCTTTCTGTTGCCTTTCTGTCGCCTCATCTGGGCAAAATGGCTGGTGATTCTTCTCGCACCGATCTTCCTGCCACAGTTTCGGCACCGGAAAGTGCTGCTCAGGCCACCGGAGGGGTAGATGCGGTGGAAGATAAGGAGGTCCCATCGGTGGTTGAGATCCTGCCTCGCCCTGGGAGAGAGTTGACCGACTTCAGTACTCGCGTCGGGGTGGAACCGAAACCTGTCCACTCCATTATGAGAGAAAGTGACATTGCAGAGTTGAAAAAAAGGTGGGGAATCCCCAATTACGTTGATATGCGGCCGGCGGTGGGGAACGACATAGTTCATTTCGACCGCCCCGGGTACTCCATGTTCTGCGCCTACCCCTTTCTTATTGGGTATACACTTCCTCTTCCTTTGTTGGTGGTGAATTTTTGCCATTTTTATGAGGTATGCCCCGTCCAACTTTCGGCGTATTTGTACAAGTTATTCCTTATGCTGCTTAAGTTCGCGGAACTCGCCGGTCGTGACGTCACTTTGGGCCATATGCTCAGCATCTTCGCCCCTCAACTTATTCGCGGTACGATGATTCACATGCGTCCTCGGGGGCGAAGAGTCTGGTGGTGAAGATGGACAACAGGACTAACCATCTTTTCTACGAGAACTATTTTTACGTGCGAACTGAGCACATCAATTGCAGCGGACCCAACGGGATTCCCTGAGAAGTGGAACTTTGCTCGTAAGTTTTTGTATTTTTAGTCAGTGAGATGCCTGATCATTTTCTGTTATGGTACTAAACTTTATCATGTCTTTGCAGCTGAGAAATTGCCCCCTCCGCCTGTCGAAGGTATTCGCTTATGGGTGAGTGCCATCCTTCCCCATACAGTGAGGGTTCGCACATGGTCGACCTTTTATGAAAGGTTCGGACGCAGGCCTCTTATAGGTGAGATGACGTTTCTGTTTGTTATTCTTCCTCTCTTTTTACTTAGCTCTTATGTGTCGTTTGTCTATGTTAGGGATAGTGCAGAGAGCAAGGGATCCTTCGTTAGATTTTCGTTATCCGGCCTCATCTACTCACCCTGTCGCGGTACCCATCGCCCGACCTTCGTCGAGGGCTGCTTCAGTTGAGTCTGCGGCCTTGGTTACTCCTGCGAGGGCCACTTCTCAGGCCGAAGTCCCGACCCACATTGCTCGCCCGACAGGTGAATCTTCGTCTACTGGGGAAGAGGAGGGGCCGTCGAGGAGACGGCGAGTGGAGTTTGAGACTGCGCCCCCAAAAGTGATTCATCTAGACGACTCTCCTACGACAAGATCTGGAGAGGGGGTTGTTGTGGCTCCCCCCGTAGGGATGTAACCAGTCGTTGCCTCGGCTCAATCGGAGATCCCACCATTGTTAGTGGTCAGCAGCCTGTCGCGGCGGAAGATCATACTTCTGGGGCCGCCATTATAATTTCGGACATACTGATCGTGGCTAACCCTGCACTACTATTGAGTNTCGGCAACCTGTCGTGGCGGAAGATCAGACTTCTGGGGTCACCGTTATAGTTTCGAACGTACCCTCATCCTCTGCAGTTGGTCGTGCTTCCTCTTCGGCTACCGAAAGAGGGAAAGGCGTGGTGGTCGACGATTACGAATCCGAATCGGGCCTCGACCCTGATGATGTCAAGATGTTTGAGGAGGGACTTACTTACTCGGTGGTTCGTGCGAGAGGCTCAGCTCGTATTCTTGAGATCCCTTCGGATACCAATCTTTTTGGGGGACACAGAGGATCTGGTGCCGCAGTTCAGCATGTTATGCTAAGTAGCCGAGAATGCGGCCCTTCGGTCTATTCCTGATGTTGATTTGATGGATGAGGTGGCCACTATGGGCTTAAGGGTATGTTTTTCTTACTTTTGTTTTTCCCTCACTTTTCTTGATGATACGATTCTAACCCGTCTTTACATTTTTCAGACGTATATGGTGGAAGTGGAAAGCATTCGCAGGACCAACATTCGGGCCAAAATTTTCTTGAAGATATTGGAGAAATACCGTCGCTACCGCAACAAGTGTCGTGAGATGCATGAGCGGCTGAAGACAAACCCCGGTAATCGGGCTCTTGGTGAGGAGTTGGAGAAAAGGGACCAGGAGTTAATGCAAGCTATCCTCAGCAGGAGTTTGCTTAAGAAGCAACTTCGAATGAAGGACGAGGAGCTCGATTTGGGCAAGGGAGTTGGTGCAGAATGTGAGCATCTACAGGAGAAATTGAGGTCAATGCAGTCGGAGATGGATCAGAACTTGATCAAGGTCGAGGTGTTGAGAGTGGAATGGATGGGGAAATTGACCGCGCTGGAGAACAAGGTCACTGGGTTGGAGAGCATCGAGAGTACTTGTTCCGCAGCTTCGATGAGGGCAACGGCCCTGGAGAACACCATCCGCGTTTTCCAGTCCGAACAGGAGTCGGAAAGAGCGACGGCTACCCTAATGGAGGCAAGGCTCGAGGAGTGCATCAACGAGATTGATCAAGAGGCAGCAGTTCTGGGAGATCGGGTCACAGCACTAAAGGCAGAAAATGGGCGACTATTGGCTCAGATTGAATCTTCCTCCACCATCGTTCCCCACCATATGTACGAGCTTTAGGTTTACGCCGAAGCCCAGCAAGATATATATAAGAGCTTGTGGAGGCGGGTACTGTGACTGAGGCTGCATATGAAGAAGCGCGGGAGGCTGGCGTCAATTGCGGGTATGATGTAGCGACGCCTAAAGCTAATGGGGGCGCAGATGCCGAAGAAGAACTTCTCAAAGATGGCAGTGGAGAGGGTGGCGATGATGACGCAGAGTAAAGGGATAGTGGTGTTGATTTGTTTTTCGTTGGTTGTTTTCTTCCCAATTTTTCATTCGTAGTCGATTGTCATTGTTCCTTATTTTTTTCTTTATTTTAGACTGTTGACTTGGGTCTCATGTAATCCGCGACCATTTTCACAGAGACTTTGTATAAAGGAGAATTTTTCGCTGTTATTTGCTTTGTATTCTATTCTTGTTTTCGTTTCGCGTGATTCCGGTGCGAGATAGATTTCCGCACGGCGAGTCCCGATCTTTTGAAATTTTCGATGATTCTTGGCCTTGGGAATATTTCGCACTTCCTCATTGGCGATGGCTTATGGCCTTAAAAAGTGTTATTTTGAACTTATCGAAATAGTAAACTGTCATCGTTCGATCGAGGTCGAACTCTTCTCCTTTTGGCGAAGGCCCTTGGCTTTAAAGTGTGTTATTACGAACTTATAAAAATAGTAACCTATCGTCGTT